GAAGCTGCTGTCTTTCCCTGAAAACGGCCACTATCAAAGCTTGACGGCTGTCCCGGGGAGCGTGACTGCGCTGCACGACAGCGGTTCTGCCGCGGGAACAGACTGTAAGTCAGACGGGACGCCGGGACCCCAGGAGGCCCTCATTGCTACCACTTTAAGCGAGCTGACAGTGCTACACACGCAGACTGACTCCATTCAGCCGCAGCTTCATGCTCTGGTGAATATGGACTAATTCGGTATTTACAAATCCAGTTTAAGCTGCACCCTTTGTACAGTCCTTTGACTTTGCCAGTAACCTACCGAGGGAACCAGGGGAAGCAGGGCTAGAGGTGAAAGACATGCACTGGATTTCCAGAATTTCCTCCAAAAATTCATTCTCCGCCTCCAAGGCGTACAGCTCCGTCTCCTGGAGGCAGGGCAGAGTAACCCCACAGCGGGGAAGCGTATTCCCTGCGAACGGAAGGGCGCAGTTCAGCCTGTGCGCTCTAGCTGGCCCGCAGTGAAAGTCAGGACCTGCGTTCAGGGGGGTTGTAAGGAAGGTGCGAGTTCCGTTTCCACTCGGGTCGGTGACACGCGTACAATCAAGAGAAATGATGTTGTCTTTCTCAGCCTAGTAGCTTAACGAAAGTCATTGTGTTTTCCCTAGTGGAAATTCATACATACAATAAGTTTTACTAAATTGCTTTTCAGGAAATGTTGGTTTCTCTCTGCTTTTGCCAAAGATCCGAACAGTGAGCCAGCTCGCTCCTTGGGAGCAAGCTTGGGAAAGACATAGAGTTTCATTCCAGGAGTTTCGGTTCTCTAGTTGCAAAATGGGCGCCGAGGGCTGCGTCCGTGCAGGCGGTGGTGGTATTTTTACACCTCGGTGCAGCCGGGCGCAGTCTGGCGCTCACAGCCAGCCAGTCTGCGTCTTCGAACCGCTCCAGCTTGCGCGTAGCTTGGCAATGGAGACCAAAACGCCTCTTGTAAAACGAGAAGCAGCACCTCGGCTCTGCTGGAGGAGCTGGGGTAGCAAGGCAGCTTGCTGGCGTTGTATCTAAGCTCTTTGTCTAAGCCGCGCTCTTCTCTCCACCGGCGCTTCGACATCGCTGTTGTTCACAGCTGCAGACCTGCTTTTACATTAATACTTGGTGGGAAAAGTCAAAGACCGTTGGGCTGTCGGGCTGCTCCAGGTAATTCACCAGCGCCAGAGCTCCAGAGGTACATTCGGGTACAAACGGGAGGCAGTCGGGGTTCCTATGACCAATGGGATAAAAAGATGCAAGTAAGTGAAAAACGTACGGGACTGTTGCAGGGCTTTCGGCCTTTATTTCCCAGAGCGTGAATGCTTTGTCTGTGAGGCCGTCCTGGAATCCGAACGGCAGTTTTAGCCCAGTGTCTGTTTATCTGTCCCCGCTGAGGTGTTAAGAGCAGGCCTCAAGAACGTAAGTGATGAATAAAAACTTAAGAGTTCAAGGGCTTTTCCTGATGAGCATCTGCTGCTGAGTTTCCGCAGAACAACCCCGGCACCGCGCCTTTTCTGGTCCGTTCGAAGTAAGGAAACGTGACAAAGCGTCCCGAGGACGGCTTCCGTTCGGCCCGCGCTCCGAAACCACGGCTTCACCCGGCCGGCTCCGCCACCCGCCGGTTTGGGTCCCAGCGCCACCCCTCGCTGCCAGAACGCTCTTTCCTTCACGTCTCCTCCCCTTGGCCAGTGGCTGGGAAAGCCGGGAGCTTCTGTCCAGGGTAAGCGTTTTCTGCCTTTCCTGAAGCGCCAACGCTGGAGCTGAACTGGAACGAGAAAGGGACTTTGGGGAATTGTCCCCGTGCAGGGCAGGAGCCTTTGCGGCGGCTCTTGGTTTTGGGCGGGGCCTTTGGGGGGGGCTTTGGGTTGGGGGAGCGGCGGGGAGCCACCAGCCGCTGGCTGGTACGGCTGACGCTTCCCACGCAGGATCAGAGTCCCAGTGGCACCGTGTAAAAATCCGGAGCTTTTCCCATTTCTCATTTGCTTTTCTGTTTATTTTAATACTAACGTAGTATTTCCACAGAAACTTTCTCAGCTGAAGCTGTGAGAAAAGCTTTCTGACAGATTGCGTTAGCGTGAAGGGAAGCACAACCGAGCCTTGTTAGGGCCCGGCCTAAGGCTTCGGGCTTGGCAGAGCAATAAAGATACCCAGACCCTGGCACAGAGCTATTTTTGAACCTTGAAGGGACGCCTGATGTGTTACCATGGAATCAGAGCTTAATCTATAGAAAGGGAATTTTTTTAAAGAGAACATTTCCAAGAGGTTATATTTGAAATATTTATTCAAGCACGATGTTCCTGTTGAAGCTTGGTATCCCCAGTGACCGATGTAAAGCGTTTGTAGATATATTTAAAGCCTGAGCGTTAGCGCCTGTAGCCAGGGGAACTTTGGTACTCCGCGAATGTACGGAAGCGAGTTACTCGTACGAGCTGTTCTTATTAAAACGTTGAACTCTTACGCCTGAGCCTCCCCGTGGCTTGACGACGGTGCCAAAGGGTCCCGCACCCTCCCCGCAACGCAGACCCGCGTCGCTGTGGATGCGCTGAGGCTGAGGTGAGTCCTAACGCGGCTCCGAAGCCTTCGGGTGCCGCTCTTCTTCCTCAGGCCCCGACAGCGCAGCGCGGGGAGAGCCTGGGCTCGACCTCCCCTTTCCCCAATCTTACCCTTAGCCAGGCGTTAAGAACCAGGCCTGGAAGAACAGGGAATGTGACGCTTCGGGACATTCCCATTTCCGACAGGCTGTACAACAAGCCCTGTAAAATGCTCGGCCAGCGCTGCCCGCGAGGAGCGTTCCCCCCCGGATGCTCCCTGACAGGGCACCACGCTGCCGGCAGGGAAGCGCTGGGCGCACGGGCTCTTCCCATCCCGCCCTGCGGCCTCGCCTCGGGCTCCGGCCTTAGCCTGCCTCTTGCTTTGGCCGGGAAAGAAGGTCTCTCACCACTAACGTTCATGATTTTCACTTTATTAAGGTACAGATTCACACAAAACATTATATTCTTGCTAAGGCCATTTCATTAGTAAGTGTTCATAGTACAGAGTTGTGTACGGGGGCGGGGGGGGAGTACAGCAGAGTGGCAGATGTCACTTGGAAAGGGTCCCACCAACGCGCCGGGGGACGACGTTCACTCCAGAGCGCGGTAACAGACCCCACTGCCCCGGGGTGCGGTATTCCGGTCCGCCAGCTCCGTACGCATCTTGGCGCAAGCACGCCCAATCCCGACAACCGGAAAAGTGAACCAGAAAAGGCAAAAACCACTCGCCTGGGTTCCGCGAGGAAAAGTAAACCCCGCAGCCCGCGCCTCGGCGCCGCGTTCGAGTCAAGGCAAACCCCTCAACACGCCGGGTCTCGGCTCACTAGGGAAACAGGTAAATTCAACAGAAACGGCTCCAACCCCATCCTTTTACCGCAGGGGAGTTCAGCGGCGGTGGCGTCTTTGGGCCCTCTTGTCCAACACGAGAGCAGATCGGCAGCTAATCCGGCGTTAGCCGTAAGACCGCCTACCTACCACGCCAGCTGCGGCCTAAGCCCGGTGTTTTCTCTGCCCGGCGGAGGTGGCACAAGCGCGCGAAGGACTCTGGCACGGGAACGGGACGCCCTCGGAAAACGTCAGTCCTCCTCCTGATGAGCGGAGGGCTGCGCCCGTCTCCAGAGACGGACCGGGAGCGCGCGCTAAAGGGAACGTCAAGTATTTCTGCGCCAAATTTGCGGAGAGACAAGGTGAGGGTCTCGGCTCCAGTGCCGGTTTTGTGGCGGACAGAGGTTGATGGGGAGCAGTGGCCTTAAGGAGAAACTGAAGTTGCTTGGAGGAACGAGCGTTGTCCCTCCAGGCTTTCGTAATGCACTCCCCTTGCCGGGTCTGCACCGCTCACGGGTCTTTTCTGTCAAGCTGGGCTGCACGGAGCGCTCTACAGAAAACAAGTGAGCAGTGAGAGCAGCCAGGGAAAAAAAAAATTAATTTGGCGCGTACCAGGGGTGGTTTTGGGTTTTCTTTTCCGTAAGTCAGCGGTAAAGTACCACGGCAACGGAACTAAACCCCTCAGACCAATAAGCCAAACCGCGTTCTACTCCACGATGTAGCTGGAAGATCTCAATATACACACACGAACTAGCAGGCAGCTGAATCAGCTCCAGCTAAACAAAGCGCTGCACGGAAGAGCCTGGGCTGCAGACATTTTAAAACCCATTTCTAAAATGAGTGCAGGAATTTTTTACACGTGTCTACACCTTTTCAAAGCGAGCTCGCTTCGCCCGGACAACGCAAACAAGGTTTCTGCGTTCCAGCGAGTCTCAGGCAACGCCTTCGCGCGTCACGAGGGGCTGGCAGCTTCGCCAACAGCACGGAGGTCGGAAGCGAAGGGCTGTTACCCAAAGACCTGGGGCAGAGACAGCAGCGGGAGTTCACGTAAATAAAAAGGTAGAAAAACAGATTATTACTGGGGTCGGGTCATCTCGGGGGGAGGGGGGGTGCGTGCGCCACAAAATAAAGTGGAAAAATAGATCCAAGAAAATAGAGAAGATCCTTACGTTTTATATTTAGATCTGAAATACAAAATACGCCACAACTCGGCCTGCTCGCGAGGGCTGGCACCGGTCGCGGCAGTCCTGGCCCCCTCCGCATTCTGCACCCGTACGTGCGCGCGTGTATCCGTACAGGAGGTACGCGCAGGCGTGCGCGCTGTCTGCGAGTCTCAAAGCCTTTCCCCAGCACCATTAGAAAAGCTCAACCGTTAAAAACCAAACCACCGCGGTCCAAGTGTATCTGCCAGAGGTCCCTTCACAAACAGAAAACAGTGACGATACAGCAACAGCTCAGAAGCAATTATTGGTACTGTACTGGCGCGGACAAAATATTTACATGCTGGAATCAACGGTACTGAGCCTTAAGACAGAACAGCAGGAAAAAACAGCAGCTGTAAGGGCTCACAGCGAACAAAACCAAGAAAGGATTGCTGCCAGAAGCGCTGCTTTCGCCTCCGAAAGGGCTGAGCATCGCCTCGCCTCACCTCTACCCGTGTTGTCACGACAAAGAGCGGGATACTAAAGAAACACACAAGTCACGGGGTTTGTAAGCGACAAAACAAAGCTGGGTGTTGTATCGCGCGTCCCGGAGCGGTCCTTGGCTGTAACGCGAGCAGATGGCTCGGCCTGCGTGCCCTTCACTTCAGGTCCCCGTCCCCTTCTCCTTGGATTGACTTTTTGATGCGAAGCAACATGGTTGTAAGCCACTGGTCCAGCCGCGATATGGAATCGAATTCTTTGACCTATGGGGGAAAACACACGCAGAGTTTAAGCGAAGGTACTCGAAAGCCAATGAGGCTGCTGCAAAAGCAGCGCTCGGCAGCTCCTGAAGTGTGGTCTTTGAAAACTTGTAGTCTTCCCAGAGGAATGAAATAAACGTAAGGTAACAAACAAAAAGGTAAGAGAAACACCTAACGTAACACAAACACCTAACTAACACAAACACCTAACGTAACACAAACACACACCTAACGTAACACAAACACACACCTAACTAACACAAACGTAACACAAACACCTAACGTAACACAAACACCTAACGTAACACAAACACCTAACGTAACACGCACACACACCTAACGTAACACGCACACACACCTAACGTAACACGCACACACCTACCTAACGTAACACGCACACCTAACACACACACCTAACACACACACCTACCTAACGTAACATGCACACCTAACACACACACCTAACTAACACACACACCTAACTAACTAACACACACACCTAACTAACACACACACCTAATGTAACAGAAACACGTAACTAACAGAAACGCCTAACGTAACACAAAATAAAGCAGCTCTATCCAAAACCGCAGAGCGCGCTTTAAGCCGCTGTCGAACGCGGAAAGGGGCTGGAGCGCAGGCGGGCCGGAGCTTCCCGTGCTCTGGAAGAGGACCCCGGCAGGGACGTGCTCCCTGGCAGGACGGGCAAGCAGCGAGGCGCCCGCTGTTCCGCTCGCAGCTGGGGCACGCGCTTACGCGGCCTTGAACAGCGCACGCGCCCCAAAAAGATAGGGGAGCGACCCGCCGACCGCACGCACCTTAGCGAACGGGTGACTACTTACTGCCTCGGTGTACGCCTCGCAGTTCTGCTCCTCGTGGGCTTCCAGCAGTTTCTAGAACACCGTTAAAAATGAGAAAATACTCCGTTACCGCGCGTTCCCGCGGGCGTCTCATCCCTGGGGACCGCGGGGCACCCACGCATCCAGCAGCGGCACCTTCGCAACCTCCCCAAACCACCCGCCGCAAACACAAAAATACTTGGGGGTTTTTTTAAGTTAGCTGGAAGAACGATCTCTCTGCTGCAGCTCCTTCCGCAAGTCTGGTACAAACCCGGTGCAAAGCGAGTCTGGCGTCCTCTGAAACGTTTGCATAAACGACCAAAGCTCCGGCCAGGTGAAAAAGCGCCAAGCCGAGGGCGGTTTGTGTTTGCGAGCGTGACTGTTCTTTTAATACCGGCCTCACTCACTTTCAATAGCTTGCACTCCCGTGAATCTGTGAACGCTGGGAACATCTCTTCGTATTTCTCAAGCGCAAGCTGAAAGAGAAGACAACCCTTAGGCTCGTTTTTTCACACAAAGCTACTTGCTTTTTATTTCCGTTTTTGCTTCCCGGTCGTAAAACCGCAGAGAGCGCTCGGGAAAGGTCACTGCGAATCCAATCCGACACGACGGCGCTTCGGGCCGTGCGACAGCCGCGCCGATCCCACGGCGCGCCAGAACGCGTCTCAGCCGGCAAAGGCGGATTAAGAGGGAGGCAGGCGGCTTGGGACAACCGCTCCGAGCCCACTCACCTTCGCGTTCAGCTCGTCCACGATGAAGTGGCACAGAGCGGCTTTGAAGAAATACTCTTTCGCGCTGTACTTGAGCAAAGGGTTATCCATCGTGTTTGTTCCGACCTAGGCACAAACAAATGTTATTAGAGTTGGGAAAGGAAACCGCATCGTTAAGAACTGAATTAAAAACAGGGCAGCTGATTAAAATTACGCACGGCACCATCATGTGAATAAAGACAACGGAAAACATGGCAGCGTCTGTACCAAGAGCTGCTGGGAAGCCGGACGGATTTTTAACTAATCCCAAGCGAGGTCAGCAACCCGCCGGCAGCCGCTGCAGCAGGGCAGGGGTCCCGCACCGGCACCTCGACACGGCCTGTCCCACGCGGGAAGGGGAAGGCGAGCCCACTCGGCGAAAACCCGCGCCAACATTAACCCTTCAGAAGCACAAAAGCCAGTCCTGCCAGGTCAATACCTGGTACAAAAGCAGGGCAATCATCAGGCTTACAAATCTGGGGGGAAATTTTCTGCCAAATGTATTTGTAAATACGATCCAAAGTGTAATTATAGCTTTCCTTCCCCCAGCCTTTCTCTAGAAACAACAGAATTCAGGGGAATAAAATGCCTTTGGTTAAGTTAGAGCAGCTCTCAAAAGCGAAGGAGCAAACCACGTCTCGTAAAGGCATAATCAGCCCCGAAATAAGTAAGGTGAGGCACTTCCAGGCCGCGGCAGTTCTGTGAGGCCGAGGCACTGACCTGCTTTTCATTTCCAAGACATTTTCGGCTCAGGTTTTTCTCTAATTTCCATCTCTCATCCAATCCGCAGCACCATTTAAACAAGAAAACCGTTCACCCCCGACTGGACCCAAAACATCCCCCATGTAGCAGAGTCCTTAAAAACCCGGGGGGGCCGCTGTGGCCGGCACCGCGCGGGCGCTGGCAGCCAGGCCGCCCCAGCCCCCTCGGAGGAGCGCGCGTCCTCACCTGCTCGTAGATCTCTATCGCCTTCTGGTACTGCTCCAGCTGTGCGGCGTAGGCAGCCACCTTCAGCAGACACTTGTTGGCTGAGCTGCAATCAATTAAAGTAAGTAAGTGTGTCCTGAAGGGAGAAAAAAGAAATCCATTCCCTGGTACCTCCAAGCACTACCTGTACTACTTAGCGTGCGTAAAAGTGGGACCCAAAAGCTGCCAATTAGGGGAATTTTCTTTTTAACAACCAAAATTAAAGCACGTAGAAAAGCAGGGAGACCTTCAGCTCGCGCAGACCTGGTGTCAGACACCGTGCAATCCCTCTGTGCTTCCTCTGCACCCAAAGCAGGCACCCCAAACCAGACAAGCCTGCGCGCAGGATGAGAACCTTCACCAAAAATCTAAGTAGGACCTGGCCCCCCCCCCCCCAAGGACACTTTGGAAGAGGCTGGCCGGCGAGGCGTGCAAGCGCGTGGGCCGTCTAGGACAAATCCCCGTCTCCAGCCCCTCCCCGTCGCGACTCTTGCACGAAGGCCACTTGCCTGTTGGACTCCTCTCCTTTGTAATAGTCTGCAGCCTGCTCGTAGTGTGCAATCGCCTGGGGACAGAAACGCCACGCCTGAGCGCCGCTTCTGAAGCGCAGGTTTTGGTCAGCCCAGCGCACGGCGACCGCATTCACCAAAGCTTCCCCACGCTGCGCAGCGCGGGGCTTCTGGTGGGGTGAGGCCCTGCCGCCCACCCCCCCGTGCGCTCAAACGCGAGGCTGCCCTTGGAAATTTGACCGTGAACTTGTTCAGGGTCCCGAAATCCCAAAATCCCGTGCAGGTTTAACACAGGTGACGCTATGCTTGAGGTAACGACTGCGAACGCTTGTCGTCACAGCGCGACAAGGCTTCTGCCAGGTTTGCCGCAATAAAGTGGTTAACAGAGCAGCCCTGAGGTAGCAGGGCTCGATTTAAGCGGGGCTGCACGCAGAGAGGCAACACTGAAGCCGTTAACAGGGAGAGATGGGATCCAGTGAAGTGGAGCTGAGGAAGCAAACGATTGTCTAGAAAATAACATCTCGAAACTGTACATTTTTGTTCTGCAAACTTCAAGCAGAAGATTTGCAGCCAGTTTTGCTGCTGCAGGATTCCTGCTCGGGGACCTCGGTTACGGGAACGAGAGAGGGTCGGTGCTGAAGTGGGAAGTAAAAGTAGCAGCAGCTTCCTTTGCGTGCGTCGGAAAAGAGCTACAAAACTGCCCCCGCAACTTTTCCAAAGCCCTTTTCAGCTGTGAAACACCCCTTCGGTCGCGAAGGTTTCTCAGCTGGGCGTCTCCGCCAGCCCTGCCGAGCTGCTGCTCAGCAGAGGGGCACGCAACGAGCCAGGATTGCCCCGCGGGACACCCTCGCTGCGGAAATCCCGCTCGCCCTGCTAACGCTAACTCCGCACCTGCATAAAGCAGCCCGGTGCCGGACGGGAGACGGGTTTTATCTGCCGCGCTGCTCTGGCCGGGGAAGGAAATGCAGCCGCCGCAGCACCGGCAGAGCGGCACCGGCGGAGCCCGGCATCCTTACCTTTTCAATGTCTACCAGCTCGGCCTCGTAGATCTCCGCAATGGTGATGTGGTGCTTGGCAGCGATGGTGAATCGCCCCTAGGGAAGGCAGAGGGTGCACGTGAGGCGGGGGCTCCCCCTCCGCCCGGCACGCACAGCGTTTCCCGAGCTGCATCTCTTACATCGGTCCGCGAGCTGCCAGCGCAGCTTCTTACCATGTCGGTGTAGATATCGATAGCTGCATTTAAGCAGTTGATGGCCTCTGCAGCATGAGTGTTCGGGAAAAACGATAAAGTCAGCCAGCACGTCAGACTTCCCAGCCCAAAACCTCCCCGCCCCCTCCAAAAACCAGATCTGGGTAACACTTCTCTTCATCAGACCACAAACCAGCTTCTTCAATAAATACCTGCTCACACGTGTACGTCTGGAACAACAGGCATGGCATTCTCCAGCCCTAAGACCTACAGATGTAACGTCCCTTGCATTTTTGCACCTGCAGACCTAATCCCCGCTCACCCAGGCCGAACGCCCCCATCCCACCGACAGCCTGCCGGTTCGCCCGGGCAAAAATCCCGACGCTGGAAGGTAACCGTGAAAAATTAGGATGGGCAAAATACAAACGATTTGTACCCCGGGTTTGTCAGGCTGCATCCTCCAACAGAGCCAAATTCAACATGCCCATCTCATAAACACGCAGAGGCTGCCATTTTCTAGGAAATCTGGGTGTTTTACAGTTACGGAACAGGAGGATCAGCCCCGAGTTAGGCTTCTGCAGCCCCTGGCAGAGGAAGCGGGGTGGGACTGCTGGGTTGGCTGGTTTGGGGCAAGGGGAATCAGAGGTCTTCCAGGAAACCACAACCCTGCTCTTTACAGCCAGATTTAAAGAATCCAGATCCTTTATCCTCACCCCATCAAAGGCCGGGCCGTTTTCCTCCCGCCTCGCCTCTGCCCCCGGGGAAACCCCTGGGAGGGGGCTGGGGCCAAGGGCAGGGATCCCACTGCGATCCAGACCTGCCTGAAGCATTCCTTAAGATCTGCGAAGCCAAGCTAAACCAGGAAAGGAGCTGCCAAGGGGCAAACCAACGCTCGGCAGCATACCGAACCTCAGCGAAGGCTTTGGCACAGCCAGAGCACCAGAGACCACCTAGAGATGACACCCCTACGCGTGCCGGCCCACGCGGCAGACCAAGACGGCGCCGACTATCTCGCGTCCTCTGACGGGCCGCTTTGGAGAAGCAGAAGTGCCGGAGGTATTACGGCTTTCGAGCAGTTTGCAGCACGGAGCCGCAGCCCCGTGGAGCCGGTGACTACCGAAAGCCTCGGCGCGCCACCTCCTCTGCCACTAAGCAGCTTTGCAAGAAACGACCCCGGATTTCGCTCCCCTTACCTTGCGGGTCTGCTTTTTTGTAGGCGTTCCCGGCGTCCACGAAGCTGGTGGCCGAGTCGTGTTTGCTCTGCAGCTGCATGTGCAGCTTGGCCGCCTGACAAAACGCGTTTCCTGCGGCTGGGAGAGAAGCACACACCGACCCCGTGAACCCCTCCGGCCCAGCAACGAGTGGGACCGCCGCAAAACGGCAAAGCAGGCGTCGCTTCCCGGCACCCAGAGAGGCCGGGAGATGCAACGAGCCCAAATCCTTTGTGGCCGGGCACTGCGCGTCTGCCGGGGGCTGAGCCATCCCCACAGGGCGCAGGACCTCGAAATCCATCGGATTTGAGGTCCGACCCAAGGTATTTCCTTGCTGAAGGGCGAACCCAGGGCAGCGCCCCTTGAGCAGGCGTCCCTGCAGAATGACGAGCTTGCACTTAGAAATGGGAAACTGCACCCCGGCTAATTTAACATCAGGAACATTCAGGTCACCCCCCCTTTGACCACCCTCCCAAAATTTAAACGACAGCAGGGCCAAGCAGAGCAGAGGAACTGCATCGCCACAGGGACCATCCCCATGGAAACAGCCTGGGATGTAAAACTCGGCGGCGAACGTTTGCAGGAAGATGTCAGTCGGTGTCAGCCGCCCTCTGTGCAGCCCCCCCACCGGCGGGGGCTGTACTCACCGCTCCAGTTTTTGGCGATCTTGAACATGTTGGCAGCCCTGGTGTACATCTCGCAGGCTTCCTCCACCCTGGTGTTGCCCCTGAAACGCAGCCAGAGAGCCCCTGAGACCGCGCCGGAACAAAACGCTGCCCCCCAAACGGGGGCCGAGAGCCGCAGTAGGGCTTGGGGTGGTGCAGCCCCGGGCTTGACGAGGCTGATCACCCTGATTTTAAAACGCAGGGTGAGCATCATGCTGCTCAGAGAGAGGAGAGCTGGATCTGGGGGGCCAGCAGCCCCCCGCCCTCCCCAGACCCTCTCCCGGGGGGGCCAGCTCCTTACCAGGGCCCGGTGCAGGCAGGGAGAGCTTCAATTAGCACCTAACGGGATCCCCCCGAGCCCCACTGCCACAGGGAGCGGGCAGAGCTGGCGGGCACCGAATAACCAAGCCCTCGCGAGAAAGGGGAGGCAGAGTTGTTCATTGCATAAAGCAGGGACAGAAAAGCAACCCGCTCCTGATGTGGCAACCGAGGGGCCTGGCACGTGGCTAAAGAGTTCGGGGGCTGGAGCGAGCCCCCGTCTGCTCTTTGACTCGGGTCCCTCTTTTTTTGGGCAGGAGCAGCTGGCTCGTACAGACACGCAGCAAAAACACCTGCAAAAAGCAAACTCTAGTAGGCAACCAACTACTGCGTCAGTGAGGGAACATAAAGCAAAGCAAGAATTAAAGAGATGCCAGACAACTTGCTGCCTGCAGAACAAATAAACCTCGCCAGGCCAGGCCCCCCCCGACGCGCCGGTGGGTTCTCTCCTCTGCCTTCTCTGGTAGGGAACGCGAGCCAGAGAACCACTCGGGTCTGACCCATGGGGTTTCGTAGCCTCACTCGGCTCCCCGAACCCCATGATTAATTTATCTTGAGAAAGACGTTAAGTATTTTTGTTAATGAAACGCAGATTTCTTCACAGACTGACTCCTGCAAGCTCGTCACTGCCCTCCGTAGCGCACAGCCCCCAGAAAGGGCCGGAGCTGACAACATTTATTATTGCCGTTGTTTTTTCCCTTCCTCCTCCTGGCAGCCGACCGCGTTTCATCGCTAAGTACAGGCGGGTTTGTTTGGGACCGCTCTGTCTTGCTCTTGAAAGCCGCCTTTCGCGTGAGCTAAAGCCAAAGGAGGCGGCGCGAGGTAACGCTACACCCTGCGCGGCGTCCAAAACCGGGCGGTTTTCAGCCTTTTAGTCTCCAAAAAAAAAAAAAAAACAAACAAACAAACAAAAAAAAGCAAAGCACTTGTGCAAGCTAATAGAGATCTTCAGGAAAAAGCCTGGCTCTCAATAACGCTTTTGGCCGGGCACCCGGCGGCCTGGCACCCCCCTTCACCGGGAGGATGCCAAGAGCAAAGTCACCCACCACCTCTTCGTCCATTTTAAAAGCAATTCTTCTTGCGCCTATTTTTAGCCCAGGAAAATAAGAAATTTGCCTCTCGAAATCTCTGCCGGTTCGCTCCAAGGATTTTCAGCAATTTGCTGCCCGGATTACGCCCCTGGAGCGCGCCCTGCCCGATTAATCTGCCAGAGGCTGGGGAGGAATTTATTTTTAAAACTTCTGCTTTTGGGGCTGCGGGCACTAGATTTTTCCAGGCTGTTATTTAGAAACACCAGGGCCTCTGTGAGAGCGTCGCTCCGCAAATGCTCTTTTCTTAAAAATATATTAAAAAACGGCAAGATTGAGGCGGCCAAAACTGCCAGTTTTTCAAAACCCTTCCGGGCACAGCTCTCGCACCCCCGGGAATATCTGCTTTTGAATAAAAAGACCCAGCAAAAAGGAAGCTTTGCCATTTTGGGGGGTATCGCCCCCCCCGGCCACCCCGTCCCTCCGGAGGGCCTCTGTGCCGCGAGGGGACCGCGGCTGGGCACAAAATCATCCGTATACCCCCGAGCCTGGCCCGAACCCGCCGGGACGCTGCCCGGGACGCGGGGGTGGCCAGCCCTCGCCAGGGCGAACCCCGGTGACGCCGTGACCGCGAGCGGATTACCAGCGGGATAAAGCTGGGATGAGCAAGCGCAGCTGCCGTGCAGCCGGGCCCGGGGACCCCCCCCCGCCGCCCCGGGCTGCAGAGGCCGAGCGGGCTCATCACACCGCTGCGCCCACCGGAGAGGGGGGCTGCTGGAGCACCCCCTGCTACGCTACGGGGGGGCGGCGTCTCACCCCCCCATCCCCTCGCACGAAGGGAGACCCTCACCCACGCTGGAGCGGGGGGCACAGCACCCGGGCGGGGGGGCAGGAGCTGGGGCTGCCCCTCTGCAGGCACCCAGCTCCCTTCGCACACCTGCACACCCCCTTTTTGCACACCCGCACCCCCCTTTTTTTGCCACCCCTCCCTTCACACACCTGCACCCCCCCTTTTTGCAACCCCTCCCTTCACACCCCTTGCAAGCCCCCTATTTTGCACACCGTGCTCCCCCCTCCTTTTGCAACTCCTACCTTTGCACACCAGCACCCCCCTTTTTGCAACCCCTCCTTTTGCACACCTGCACACCCCCATTTTGCAACCTCACCCTTCGCACACCTGCGGCCCTCCTTTTCCAACCCCTCCCTTCGCACACCTGCACGCCCTCATTCTGCAACCTCACCCTTCGCGCACCTGCACCCCTCCTTTTGCACCACCTCCCTTCGCACACCTTGCAAGCCCCCCATTTTGCACACCCATGACCCCCTCTCGCAACCCCTCCCTTCACGCGCCTGCCCACCCCCTTTTTGCAACCCCTTCTTTTGCCCACCTGCACCCCCTTTTTGCACTCCCTCCCTCCACGCACCTTGCAAGCCCCCCATTTTGCCCACCTGCACCCCCTTTTTGCAACTCCTCCCTTCCCACACCTTGCAAGCCCCCCATTTTGCACACCGTGCCCCCCCTTA